AAACCATTTTTTCACCCCGGACAATGGGTTATGGGACAAGAGCTAGACCTCTTACGTCCTCATTTACTGACAGCCTGTCAAGGCTATCAGTTGCAATCAGCATTTTTGGATGCGTTGCGTACTGCTGCGAAACAGGATTCCGTCTATATGAGCAACTTAAAGGCTGTGTTAGTGGGAGACAAAGTTGTTGACCGCAATCTGATGATAGAAAGAGATATTCTTTTATACAAGAAGCTTACCATAGAGAGAGACCTTCTTCTATATAAGAATAGGTGGTATATTCCGGACTTATAGGAGCTGAAGGATAGGATCATGGAAGCCGAGCATGACTCCCGTATTGCGGCACACTTTGGGACATACAAGACGGTAGGCAGGGTTAGGGCTAACTTCTTTGACCAAAGATGGATGAGAGCATTACGGACTACGTTCATACATGTGATGCCTGTCAACAGAACAAATCCGCTAAGCATAAGAAGTTTGGCTTGTTGGAACCTGTTGGAGTACCATTGAGGCTGTGGACAGACATCTCAATGGACTTCATAGTAGCACTAACGGAACCCAAAGGGTATACCAAAATTCGGGTAATCATCCATAGATTCTCGCAGATGGCACACTTTATACCTTTGGCCACTGAAATCCCGATAAAGAATCTGGCCTTGATATTCCTGAAGGAGGTATTGCAGCTCCATGGGCTCCCCGAATCTATTATCTCCGATCGAGATCGCTGATTCACATCTAAGTTTTGGATGAGCCTGATGCAACAGTTCCAATTAAAACTACAGTTATCAACCGCTTTTCACCCTGAGACTAATGCGCAGACTGAGCGGGTACACCAGACCTTGAAACAATATTTAAGAAATTATTGTTCCTACCAGCAGGATGATTGGGCATCATTACTTCCCTTGGCAGAATATGCATACAATACATCCACCTCCGAGTCAACCAAGTTATCTCTGTTTGAGATCAACTATGGCTTTAACCTACAGACCAACTGGTCAGGTACAGTCTCAGTACAACAAGGTGTTCATCCGAGTAGCCAGCTATTGGTAAAGAATTGGGAAGGTATCTGACAAGAAGTCTGAGACATACTTAAGTGTGCTCAAGAGAGACAACAGAAATAGCACGACTAAAAAAGGTTGCCATCGCCAGAATACGTTACAGTGGAAGATGTGATAAATGGCAGGACAAAGAAAGCTGACCGCATAATGCTAAATCGAAAAAACATCCGCACTAAGTGACCTATGGAGAAGCTAGACCACCGAATGTTTGAACCCTTTGTGGTCAAACGCAAAGTTGGTAACCGAGCTTATGAACTCCAATTGCCTGCCCGTTGGTCAATCTACCCGATATTCAATGTTGGACTCTTAGAACCATATCGCGAGGACCCAAGTGGTAAAGGTACTAAGGAAGTCCCAGTCCCCGAGATAGTAGACAATGAGCCCACCTATGTTATTAAGGCAGTTGTAGACGGTCGATAGTACGGTAATCTGAAAGCAAAATTTCCAAATCACTTCGTATAGTACTCGGTTTCGTGGGAAGGCTGTGGTGCAGAGAAGAACTCTTGGGAGCCATATGAGATACTAGAGGGTACTGGCTTACAAGCTATGAAGGAATTTCACCATCAGTACCTCCATAAACCCAGAGACTATCGGGTTGAGGGTGAACCGTATCAGGGAAATAAAAGTCAACGTTAGCAGACCAGGTCTTTTCTTAGAGAAGAGGGGAGTGATGTAATGATCCTACATTATAGAGCTATGGCAACCTAAGTCTCCGCCCATACATAAGACCAAGAGGTCAGATGGTAGACTAGGCAGGTATGCAGATGCATATTTAAGGGATATCTGATGGTCTGGATATCCCTAAGAACTGAAGGTACTTAAGGAATAGGTGTATCCAAGTAGTGGTAGTAACGTGACAATGTCCACTCTGGCCTGAGGATAGGTCAGAGGGTGGGGTAAGTTTACCCTGTCTAAGGACGTCACGTTACCCTACTATGAAAACCAGTTTCGTATCACCATGGACATACTCACCCTACTTTTAGGACACTATTACCCTACCTTCTGTCGGAAATGTTCTCAGAGGAATTTCGGGAAATATTAGGATCATTTGTTACGCAATGACAATCGACAAGCACTTGCTTGCACATTGATTGGAAGACTACAGGAAGAGCTATAGTGCTCTGATAAAGCTGTAACTTGGTAGGATTATTCCTGACAGGTACCTGCGGCCCCAGGGTTCGCCCCGGGCGTCATGGGCCAAAATGGGTGGAGTTGCCGTCTTACTAGTTAAATAGAGTCTATGAAGACATGTCCATAACACTGTATACGTCGCTGCCGTCTGTCTGACGGGAAGCTGTTCACAGGATATATAAGGGGGTCAAGGTGAGAAGGTCAGGTATCTTCTCTAAAAAGAGCGGAGTAAAACAGACCAAAACTGACGGAGTTAGCGTGAGCTACCCGGAAGGGTTCCCAGAGTAGTCCCGGGTAGTGCCGGAGACATCTGGGAAGGTTTTATGCCAATTAAGCCTATACATGCTCCTTTGCCGTAGGCTCTTTGTGGGTTGTTTAAGGACTCAAATAGCATGATACTTATCACACTGAGTAGTGTGCCGGGGGTAAGAAACCATGGGTAGTGCCCACAGGTCCCACCGCTGCCGCAGCTCTCTGCGGGAGCGTTGTAGACCTTCTAAGTTCGCAATCATAAAAGATAAAACTTAACCTAAAGACAGCTGAAGTCTACGGGAGCTTGCATAGATTATGGCACATGGGAAGAGAGTCATTTAGTTAGCTTTCCTAGGTGTCTCGACAGTTAGCCACTGGCGAGACACCGATGCGCAGAAGTTTTCACTCTGGCAGGTGTATTAGTAAATACCTCACAGGTACTGATGTGCATATAGGAGAATTCTGCTAGAGTGCGCTGATACCTTAGGCCCTTCGGGGACACAAAAGTGGTGCCAGGGCAACCCTTACGGAGAAGGGCATACTCATGTTGGTTGGGGTAACCTGATGGGGGAGTTTTTAGTATAAGTCTAACTACTTAAAGATTATACGAGAACTCTTCTACTCCAACACAATCAACATCCTCTCCTGAGACTTTACTTGAGATAAGCCTGAGCTTAATGATATTAAGTTTTACCGTTTACCTTTATTCTTTACACTTTGCAAGAGCTGTCTTCGAGAGATTCAAAGTTTCGTACAGTCGCATCCTTAGCAACCATCTACCTGAGGGAGCCCCCATTATATGTGCCCTCTTATATTTTATGTTCTTCATACACTCTGGTAATCTCCTACGGACTCCTGTATCTAGGAACTACACTCTTCTCTGCTTCGCATCCTCTTGAACCACTGAACCCTGACCCTGAGCCCCTAACCCCCAAGCCTTGTACAACTCGCTTTGGTTGTACACCTGTTTCTAGATCTCGCCTCTGAACTCTTGCCTGTCCCCGTCGTGGTATGCCTTGGGCTACCCGACCCTCAGACCCTGTTCATTACACTTCTTATTTTAGATAGATACTCTTTTTATCATCATTAGAATTTCTGCATATTTTACTTATATTCAAATATACTTTTACTCTATCTCTCTTCTTATTCTACTCATTTATTTCAACTCTTAAATGTTATAATCTTTAGTCTATTATAGTATTTTTATAGGCTTATCATAAATAACTTCTCTCACTACTAGTAAGGTATCAGCAAAAATAACAGCTTGTATCCTATGCATCACATATGTCTGATGCACAAAGCACATAAAATATAAACAGTTAACTAAGAGGCACAGTGTTATATATATGAATATGAATGCACAGACCTCTCCCACATACAGACCTCCTTCTAACTGCGAAAATTGAATAGCCAACATCCCTTTCTGACTCCAGTGTAGTTGAACCCAATGATAATTGGTCTAGAAGAGAATCTGCAATACTGGAAAATGGAATTAGGATTGTTGAAAGAGGATCATCTTTGCTAAGAATGGCATAGTTAATTGAGATTGCTGGAGAGGAGCTTGAGTACTTGTTGGTTTGTTAAGATTGATGTACTAAACAGTTTTTTCTGAAAAAAAAAAATGAAAAAAAAAAATGAAAAAAAAAAAAAGCTGTATATAACACTTGGTTTTCCTGACTATGAGCAAAGCAAATAGGAGGCTAACTGGCTATTACTTGTAAAGTCAATTTAAGCTAACATATGAAAACTACTCCTACTACTCTATTTCAGATTCTATAGATATTTCAATACTATGTTAGCCTTGCCTTACCAACCTCTCCTCAATCAATACTTTTTTTCCTCTCCAAAAAGTATTACTATTACCAGTGGTAATGATATAGCAGAATTCTCTCTGATTTCACCAACCCTACTTACTACCTTGCTGCCTCCAGCAACCTTGCACCCTTGTCTCTCTTACTACTCCTACCAATAGATGACTACTCACATACTCTTTGGAATGGTTTTATGAAATCCAAATCCTTAAGTTCTATTCCTCCCTTATACTCTTTTAGTTCTGTTGTCCAAGTCATTTTCCTTTTTTCAGCACCTCTTGGTAGATTTTCTTTTTTCATTATCAATTTTCAATGTGAAACTTTATCTCATACTCCTTATCTGTCAATGTCTTTTTGTTTTGTTCAATTTGGTTAAGAATTGGTTGAATTGTCATGTTTTCCGTAAAGGAATTCATGTGGCCCACTTCATGATGATGGCCCCCTTCGCCGTTGGGTACGTTACCAAATTGTTAATATCTTCACAAAGGGACTCCTGATCGACACCTCCCTTAGAGATGGCTCCGACGTCAAGTACGTGGTGGCAGTAGCCGCCTCATCTACCCTGTCGATAGAGCGAGAGCTCTCTTGAAGGTACCGTAGTTGGAACGTTAGACCCAAATGCCTACCATGTCTACGAAGAACTCGCCGCCAATCCAATTATAGACAGAATTCTGCGTGAAGTAGCCGGTTCTTACCCGCACCATTTCCAGGATTGTTTGTTTGCCCTGAATGCGGATATATGAGACTAATGATCAGCGAGAAGCAATTAACTGTGAACGCTGCTCAGATGAATATACTAGTGGACATTGCGTGGTGGAAGGGGCTGTTCTTTTTAGAAGCTCTACGGACGAGCCACTTTCCGATTAGCATTGAGTTGAGGGAGCTGGGGAAGAGTGGGGAGGATATTTTGTGGATTAGAGTGTCTGGGAGTTCGAATCCGAATTCTCACAGGTGGTTAATCCTGACCTTGAAGGTGGGGCTTTGCCGGACCCTAGATTTCCCTCTTCTTATTCAAATTTCTGGCTCCCTATTGACAGGTTGGATATCGTAGTGGTAAGTTAGCCGGTCTTTGGTTTATCCTTTGACCTGGGTTTACCAAACCCTCTACCACACTTCTCCGAAGCTGAGAAGAAGGCTCCTGTTGTCACTGATACCGTCCCGAAGTACGAACGTGCAAGGGAAGACATGGGTAGCGCTGTGGTAGGTGCCGGTACTCTCGTGAAGCCAATTGATATTGCTACTAGTATCCAGGCATCTATAGACCCAGGGGCTCGGCGTTCAGTGGTGGTTAAGATCCTGGGGCCAAAGGTGAAATTCGGGCGGCTCATCTAGGGCACCACCCGTAGTCATATTATCATTCCCAACTGTAAGAAACCAAAGCAAAAGAGTCGGCAAGCTCCTGCCCCTGCTGGGCATGGAATGTGCTGGGGAGCAGATGCTGTGGAAAGATGTCCGGGGGATGGAAATCAGAGGGCGAGACCATGCCACCTGAAGAGAGTATTCCTGTCATGGAGATCGTGGATAGGGCTGGGGAGAATCCGGTTTTAGGTGTCCCGAGAGGGTTGAGTCCACATCTGATTAGGGTATTATGCCTATCGTTACGGTGCTGTTTGGGGTCGTGGTCAGTATCTGCCTAGTAACCTATTGTGGCCTTTTTTTTGCACTATGCCCAATAGTGCCGAGAACTGGGGGCGAGAAGGATAGGCTTCTATAGTGGCTCTTAACTCCTACGTATCATACCCAAGGATACAACAATTCCGCCTGCCCAAAAGTATACTCCCCTATAAAATACAATTAAAATCGTACCCACCTGTAGTGACCCATTGTTCGTTCACCCACCCGGACTTGGCTGAAAATGGGTCCAGAAACCAAGTTAGGGGCCCCGAGAGCTGATTCCTACTACTGGCGAGCAATTAAAGAAGGTTCAAATTGTGAGATGCTGGAGCCATGATCTCCCGTAAAAACAAGCCTTAAGTCAGAGATGTGAGTTAGCTGAAAGCCGGAAAGGGACTTTGTGGCTGTGCCAGGGAGTTATGAACTACCTCTTTTTTTCTCTCTCTTTTTTTTACGGTATGATACCGTACTAGTAATGTGATGTGACTAACTTAATAAACGGTACCAATAGATATGTTTCATACCGCTTCTCAGCATATCGAATGGGGTCCCCTAACTCCAAGTGTCTGGCCACGCATACTGTACTTATAGCGTAATGGGTTCAGCTTCAGAAAGACCGATAGGCTTGTCCCAAGATAATCAATTCTATAGGTCTTCAAAAGCATCCGGACGACAATTGGTGTCATATTGGACTGCAAGGACACAGATATGATACCCTCAAGAGCCGCTACAAATACCTCCCCAAGTAATGGTTATTAGCTAACATGGATCAACCCCCAATAGCCTTGCCTACCATAATCGAACGCGATGCACTTTGTATTCCTCTACCCCAGTTTTTATCGGAATACTCTCGAATCCCTATAATGATTCCACTACAGTGAGGTAGCGAGACACTCGGGCAGACCTCCATGCCGTCGGCTGCTGTGAGAAATTGGCAAGTGGAGACGGTGCCGAGCAAGTACGTACTAGCGCAGTGCTTGATAAGATCAGGGTAGATAACACAAATATGCTCCCGTTCATCCTTTTCCCTTGAGTGTGACCTATGTGACACAAGTGTGGCAATGCCGCCGCCACCTCTAATCCGGTAGCAAGGGTGTCTACAGTAGCTCGAAGAAAGAGAACTCCAAAGATTTCCTCTCTAAAAGCAATTCTCCAAGCTCTCGAGGTCTAGCCTGCTGGAGGAGAGACAGATAGCCCTCTGACACAGCACATTTACGCTGGGACACAGACATAGCGGTACTCACCGTTGTTAAACCGCTGGGGGTGATACTTGTGCAGTACAACGATTCTTCTCTTCCACCTCCGCACTCCAACCGCTCAAACACCGGACCAACCTACGACCACCCCGTGACATCACGCTCTCATCTGATTCAGATTAGACGGGATTTACCTTTCCGGGTGTGCACAAACTTACACGCGTCTTCAATCCCTTGCACACTTTCGTTTTGCTAGGCTTTCTTGAGCATGAGTGGTTGGAGGGGCCCAGCGAGGGAAAGAAGCCGCGAAAATCCCCGTCAGTACCATCACCCAGGTGAGAGAGAGCGGGAAAGGGAGTATGATCGAGGCCACAGCGGGGGCGACGAACAGAGAATAGACAGGTATCGAGATTGGGAGCGACCTCAAGGCAGCGGGCAGCAGCCGCCACGCCATCCCCACCATCCCCACTATCCCTACAGCGGGCCAGGAAGATCGAGAAGGGCTTCGGGCGGCGGCGGTTTTCACGAAGACTACATCTCTAAACATCGTCAGGAACCAGTCGGCGTTGCCAATCAGGCGCCATTTAACGACACAACCCGTCGCGGCTCAGCAAGTTCAGCTGCCTCAAAAACACAAGATCCGCTGCACGCTTCCCCTAGAGAGCGAGGAATGATCGAACAGTCCGGGCAGAAACGAAAACCAAGCCCTAGTTGGGCACGCGACAGGGAAGCGACCAAGTTGCGTGGGGACCCTGACGACAGACGCAGCTCGTGCGGGCGACCTGACCCACCTTCAATTGCTGCCTCACCCCACGACCCCCCTCTTCACTCACCATCCATAACAACCCCCAAAACACCAATGATATCCTCAAGCACCCCTCGTCCAGCCGATCCGCGCCTCGCCGCGGGAAATGTGCAAAAGAAACCTAATAGCTTTGCTAGGTAAATTCCTTGACCTAATTTCCCTCAAATTTTAAGCCATCAATTAACCAACATCGATGCTCCATCATGTAGTGTCTTCCAAGAGGCAGCACATGCATTTATGAAACGCGAGGATGCGAGAGAGGTCCATAGCAAGGCCGAGGCTGATCGTAACAAAGTGGCTGAGTACTTCTCCCAGTTTCCGGTAATGCGCGATAGATACGAAGGGCGTTTGGAGGAGGCGCGAAGGGAGCTTATGCTAGCCGATATGGCCCTGGGAATCAAATCCAAGCCTCTGGAGACCATATGCCTTGAGTTTGCGAGGGAGAACTGCGCAAAAAAGGAACTAGAACCTATGGTACCGCTTCTTCGACAGCTCAAGCACGAGCTTGGGACCTCCAACTCCCTTGCACAGCTCATAAAGTCATCTCTACCACCTCCCGCGAACCCATCACAATCCCAACAATCAGCCACCAAGCCTGATGAGTTGCAGAGGTTTAGTAGAGAGTTAGCAGACTTAAGGAAACAGCAGGACGATGAGGCGAAATCCCGCCGAGAGCTCTCTGAGAACTTCCTTAAATACAAGGATAACTCAAACAAACGTTTCAAGACTTGTGAGGATAAGTTGAAGGATGTTGAAACTTCCCAACGAAGTCTGCAGAGCGAGCTCGACCGAACAAAGGAAGAGATGCGTAGGGTCGTCAATGATATCGAAAAAGTCCAACAGTCCTTAGCTCAGCTTCAAGAAAGCAATGCCGGGAAACCCCAGAACGTCGAGCCCACGGCGGCCGGAGCCAGCCCAGGTCTAGATGCTGCAGAGGTAGGCATTGGTCTCGATGATTTTTCTATTTCTTCTGAATTGCTGCTAACGTTCAGAAGGTTAAAAAGATTGCGGAAGATAATGTTTCACCACTCGTGAGCCGTTGCGAAGACCTCCGCGAAAAATATCAGCAGCTCGAGCCCAGAGTGAAGGAGCTAGAGTCGAAAATTGATAGTATCGGTGTTGGCACTGCATCTTCAGACGATATTGCTCGACTCGAGAAGCAGTTGAAAATTCAGGACGAAACCATTGATAATATTAGACAGAGTACCGAAAATGATACTGAAATTCTGATGGAGCAATTCACGGCCATTGACACTAGCATTGAGGAAAATAAACAGCAAACCTCCCGGCTCTCGACGAATTTAGAAGAGTGCAAGGCAATGGTTAGGAATGGCATGGGTCAGGATAAAAGCACTTCGGAAGCCCAGGCAATCCAGGAAATCCAGGCAATCCTCGGCGAGTATAGGACGGATATCAATACCCTGAAAGTGGAGTTCCAAAAATTCATAGTCAGGCAACATGATTACGCTTCCAAACTTCATGAGCTGGACAAAACCTCTTCAACTGTTACTCCCAAACTTTCGAAGGAAATAGAGGCCACTCAGGCAAGACTGGCAAAATGGGAGAACAGCTTGGATGGTTGTCTCACTGCTGTGGCACACTTGGATCAGAGAATGTCTGCATTCACAACCAAAGATTTCTATGAGAGAGTAGTCTCATCCCTTGTTTCCATCAATCCGCTGCTGTTCAATACTACCAACCAGCTTCAACATATGCTCAACGAGAACAAGAAAGCTTCCACTACCGTTCAAAGACTATTGGTAGAATACCAACAACGCCAAGCAAATGAATCCGCCCAGCAACAGCACCAGCCCCCACAAGGGGCTCCAGATCCACCCTCAACCAACGCCGAAGCCGCAAACGGGGCTGCAAACCACGGGGAAGCTGCACCATCCGAGGGTCCCGGATCCCTATCTCAAGCTCTACAGGATATAGAGTCCCATACCCAGGCCCTTGAGGCACTCGCTAGGCGCGTGGACCAGCACGTTGAAGCCTACAGTGGCAGGATGAGCGATATTCGCGAGTGGACCGTCTCTGCAACTAAAAGACTTCAGGAAAACTCAGATACGTGCGGCGATCTGACGAGGGAGATCAAAATGATACAAAACTTTCTCAATTCGACCAGTGATAACGCACCTATCATCGACTCCATCCAGAATCAGTCCCAGTGGCGCGCAGTGAGTGCAGCCACGGCGCCGCGCAACCCCGACCTCGAATCTGACGCGCAGTCCGAATAGGAGGATACCGGAGATGAAAACACTCAATACAGTGTCTTATCTTCCAGACTGGTCTGTGCTCTGCTACTTGACCAATGGGAGGGGGGGAAAAGGGAAAAGATATCAATTTTCTTAGTCCCTTTTTCTTTTTTCTCTTGCATGTTTTTTCTTTCTTTTTTCTCTCCCACTTTCCTAGCCTTGCAATACCATACAAAAGTTTTCGCCTTATCGCCCTTCCTCCTCACAAGCTCTACAGATTCCTTCAAGCACACAATCCGTGATAGTGGCATTATCCCCTTACCCTCTCCTCGCTGCCGCTCACTTTGTATCTGTTTTCCTCTTCCCCCCTCCTTTCCTCCTTTCCTTCTCTTTCCCTACATTTACCAAGCATTCCAAGATACACCTTGTCCTAATTTCTTTTACACTGATTTACCCCTTCTCTGCTTCTACTTCCCACTCTTGCAATTGGCATAACTCTCTGCTGTAGGTACCATATTTCGCTCCTTCTTACATCTTTCCCCAAGAAAGAAATTTTTTTGCCACCAATCAACAGTGATTAGCGCTTCCATTTCTCTCCATTTTTTCTTCTTTTTTCTCTTCATATTGTTAAAATTTGGTTTTCCGGGTTCTACTCTGCTCGGTTGGATAGGATGGGGGTTTGGGCGTTTGTTCGCTTTACTTTGTCTTTGCGCGGATTAGGTTTTCTTCTTTTCTTATACAAATATTTCGTCTAGTGTAATACCCTTTTTCACGGGTTTGCCACGTTTCGATCTGGAAAGTGTGAAGTGTAGTGTTGCGAGCACCGAGAAGGATGCTTCATACCATACTAAAAGGAGGGATGCAGTGCGAGAACCGGGCCCATCGTCGATTGCCCGCTTCTGAATTTGCCGGGTGGAGTATGGCACTGTGCTTCGCGGGCGGTAGGTTAGGCACGATACGGTAACTCCACGAATTAAGAACATAGTGGGATACTAAATGCCCCGAGTGAGTGATTCCTCATGCTCATGGGCACACCACCCCCTAACTAAAGCTAAGTACAGATTGTGGGCATCCGGGTAATATCATACCCCTCCTCCCTCCCTGCGGATCCTGGGAAGACGACGACGACGGTGACGGCGACGGAATACCGTCATTATGTATGTTATATACATGGTTGGAGGTGAATAATGGTTGGATGGAGAAATACCGGTAGTATGATAGGAGGAATAAGGATTGGGATAGCTAGGATTTCGGTTGGGAAAACGGAGTGTCTGGGGGGGGCGTACCATAGAGAAAAAAACAAAACAGAAAACTCGTCTTTGGATCGAGATGGTAATGATGTTATTGAGGTATGATAATATGATAGTTGGGCATGAGTGATGCGTTGTGTCTATCCTACGAGTACCGTATCCATCATGAATATCATACTAGGCCTAATGCGTCGAACGTGGGATCAAACTTTAATCTTGCCGAGGCGGCACCCTGCCGAACCCGCCCACCAGACCTACCATACCACCGACCTAGTGCGGCTCAAACTGATCGCCAAGAATAATCTCGTTCACCCCACCATCCCTCCATCTAAGTTACCATGTATCATATCATGATACCGATATCCTCCCCATTCAATATCCAACAGCATAGAGGGTAGGAAAAAAAAAAAGGAAAAAGGAAAAAAAACATGCCACCCCAATCCCTCCACCATCGCCGAACCCACAACCTCCTCCTAATCGCCCGCCTCCTCTCCCTGCGTGACGGGGTATCCCCGTTCACACTGCTGCTGGACTCCCTCTCCCAATCGGCGCGACCACTGCTGCGGGAATACATCCGGCGCCAGCAGAGCGGTACGCGGATGATATTCGTCTCCTTCGAAACGGCGGTGGCGCCGGAAGGCGTGAGCGTGTTTATTAAGGCCCGCGGGAAGGAGTTGGTCGAGCTGCAGCGAGAGATTCGCGGTGCGGTTGGTAGTGGTAATGATAATGGTGGTGGTAGTGGTAGCGGTACTCGTTCGTCCCCTATATCTATCGGGCTTACGGGGTGCAGGTGGAGGGCTAATTTGTGGGATGATAGGAGCGTTGTTGATATTGGATAACTTGAATACTCTATCGACCACACACCCGCAGTCTCTCACCTTGTTTCTGTCTTCGCTGTTGACGCCTGGGATGGTGTTGCTGGGGGTTTACCACCTTGACCAACCCGTCCCTTCCCCCTCCTCCTCGTCGTCACCTCACACGGGTCCACAGCCACTCACGCTGCTGAGATATCTCTCCACAACACTCGTGACAACTCACTCGCTCCCGCACGTCCTCTTGCGGAAGCGACACAAAGATGTGTCCCTCCCGCCGCCAATGTGGGGACTAGACGAGGGCGTGGAGGGGGTTCTGGTTGGGCTGGGGTCGAACGCGGAAATGGTTATTGAAATGGAGTACAGGAGGAAATCTGGACGGGCTGTGCTAGAATGGTTTGTGATAGGGGAAGGGAAAGGAAAGGAAGGGGCGGGGAAGGACGAGGTTATCCTTTTAGAGGATCATCCGCTCTGGAGGGTTTCCGAGAAGGTTAGGAAGGGGGAGGCTGGCGAGCAGGAGGAGAGCAATGGGATTGATGGAGTTACATTCGAGCTCGGGATTACGGAGCGGCAGAGGAGGGTTCGTGAGGGGGTGCAGTTACCGTATATGGATGCCCAGCGGGAGGGTGGTATTGGTGGGGGCGGGGCTATATTGTTTACGCCGGAGAAGGAGGTGGATGATTTTGATGAGGAGGAGGATGAGATTTAGGGTTTTAGCATGATGAGGGGATTAATCGGTTGGGATTTTTGTAAAATGGTAGCGGGAAGGGGGTGGTATTTGTATTTTTATTTTTATTTTTTTTGTGTACCGGTAAGGTATGATAGAGGAAAAAGAGGAAATAAAGAGCAAGCATAGAATAAGGGTTTATTGAGTGTCCATTGCATCCCCTTCATCCACGTCCGGGTTTTCGGCTTCCCTCGCGCGCTTTGCGTCAAGTGCTTGCTTTTGCAGCATCTTGTAGATATCTCTCTTAAGGTTAATCGTCTTTGCTTTTAACGTCCCGACTGCAGAAAGGAATATCTCGTCCGCATCAAATTGTCCGGTTGACTCCACTGAAACTGCTCACCCCAGCCAATCCATTAGCATCCGCTCCCACTCACGGAAGACACTGAAGAGCCTACATATAAAGTGATCCCTAACCCTCCCCAACTCCACCATCCCCCTAAATTCATCATGCCTTAATACCTCCCGGGAAACAGTGTCATTCCTGGCATTATCCACGACTGCCTCCTTCTCTCCGTCCCTCCCCTCCCGGACAGCAATCACGCCTTTAGGAAAACAAGCAGCAAACCTTTCCGCGGCCTTACCGCGGATCGGTTTCTTGATCCTGATATCCGGCAAAAGCCTGTAACTCGCGGTAGCCACAGGGGAGAATTTGGCATGGTCCTGGCCGATCCCCTTAACGCAATGCATGGTCAAATCGACCTCCTGCCCGGGTCGAAGTTTCGCAATGAGGACGTCGGGATTGGCGGCGCGGACGGGGTCGCGCGCGAAGGACTTGATCTGGCGACCGGCAGGTTCGAAGACCATGTCCGAGGCGTAGACGTTGTGGTTTATGTAGAGTTTGTCGGGGTCCGTGTCTGTCTTTTTCGCATCGGGATTGCGCTCACAGGTCTTTTTGAGGTGCAGAACAATGGTGTCCTCGTCAGTTGGTTCGCGGGGAGTGGCATCCTCGCCGCCTATGGTTCGCGTGCACACACATCAGTTACTGTTAACTTCTGGGGGAAGACATTGTAAAGAGGGGTGATTACGCAGGTACCAAGACAGCCCCTTAAGCGCATCTTTATCCCCGCGCAGCGGAATGAGGCCCAATCTGTGTGCTAGAACTTCATCTTGAATTATTGAAGTATTGTTACTGACGTAGACACTTTCGATCGCGAGTGTTGGCACCTCGGCGATCATGATCCTACGGAGGGTGTTTGCGATTGCGGCATCGGTGTGGATTAGGTCGAACTGGGAGAGGAGTGGGGTGTTGCGATAGAATTTAACTTTGAATGTCTGCTTCCTGGCATTAGTAACGGGGGAGGTATGGGGCGCGGGGGGGGAGGACTCTTCGGAAATGCTTGACACTCCATGAGTGGTCTTCGCCGGGCCAGTGGCCGGGAAAGTCGGTTGAGGAGACATTGGTTACTGTTTCAGCGTTGACGCCGACAATCTAGGTGTCTGTTAGTTGGGATCGAGCGGGAATATTCCATTACATGGGGAGATACATTTCGGCGGTTTGTGGCGGCGGGCATTGGCTAAAGGTTGGCCAAGGTTAGCAGTCCAGCTATAGTGGGTGAGCGATGAGCATGAGGCGGGTTGGGACGTTGGTGGTGGTGCTGCAGGGGTTGGGGATAAAAAATCCGGGAATATTTTTTTCTTCTCCCCTTCTTTTTGAGCCGCAAGGACGGATGGAGCGACGGCCCGATGATGCCAAGAGATGATGATAGATAAGATGTGGTGATAACTTAAAAAGAATCGAGTCAGAGTTTGTGATTGGGAGAAATATTCGGGGAGCGTGTGATCGGTCTGCTTTGATCCGCTGTAGTTACACCGAGAAGGAACCAAGGGGTGTTCTTTTTTTTGTTCTATTCTCTGAGACTTATGCCCTGAGCCTGAGAGCGGGAGAAGGTAGTGGGAATGAGATAATACGGTATAGGAAGGATTCATTTGGATAAGATACGTTAATACGGGGGGTATCATACGGGATCTACTTTCTCCTCTCTTTTAGGATCAGCACCCAGACGAGCTATCACAGCAAGCTTACATACGGTGCTGTGGTCCCGGTTCAGAAAGGGTTCCCAGCCTAGCCACCTCGCAGGATAGATGGGCTGCCCACTGCTCGTACGGCACTCCACAGCCCCCACAACATCACCCCCCCGTCCCTCCACCCATTATGCATCACTGAATTACTGTAGGGTTAATGTTCGAGCACTACCTAGCTAATACAGATTCGCAAGTAGCTACCAAACCATCCATGAATCGCCCCTCAGAAGACCCGTTCGCGGAGAACAATATCGAGACCCAAAATAAACCATTGGGGCCCGAGGTTGCCCCACCCCCACCTCCGGAATCCCCCTGTGAGGTTCGGCTGGCGCAGCAGGGACAAGGCGTCGGTCAAATTGGGGCGAATTGCACTCTTCTCAATTTTAGGGTCGATCATCCAAAAAGCGGGCTGAGAAAGTGCTGGAATCGGCTCGGCGGAACGGGTTGTTCACTTGATAGCTTTTCCTGCTTAGGTTCTCGCTTTCCGTAGGAAGGCCTGGCCGCGCCCATTGTGATGAGTTGAGGTCCAAGGAGTTATGGTAGCTTGGTTGGAGAGTGGGAGAAAGGCGTTTTATATATATATTTGTTTTGATTCGCTCTGATATTGTCGGCTGTGTCATGGGCACGTAAATTGAATGGGGTAATATGATAGAGGAGGGAAGGGAGGGGAAAGACAGTGAGGGGTTGTGCCGAGGGTAGCCGGGTTCACGGGCCCTCACTTGAGGGACTTTGGAATCATGGTTAGGTTTTTTTGGTGTTCCGGGGGGGGGGGTAGGACTGGAAGCGCATGGGTATTTACAGAGGCCGCTCGCGTCTTCTGGTGCAGTGACCCGCAAGCTACTGCAGGATGTTTTACTGCTCCCGTGATGGCAGATGACTCTTGGGTATATGATTTCTCCGTAACGCTAGGAGATCCGGACATCCGGCCAAACGTTTCTGCACTCGTGGCCACAACTATCCCACTGCGCTTTATTGCGGTCACGATTCGCCATACGAGGCCGAGAACAGCCGGTAACCACCCGTGATTGGTACAGTACTCTAGTCCTGTTGTCTAGGACCTCCGTCAGCCCAACTTTTAGTCCCATACGAGTAGGTTTGGGTGAGGTTCCTCCCCGCCTTATCCGTTAGACTACGCCGTTATTGCTTAGTGGGATCTTTGGAGGAGTCCAAGAGAATACTTCGAGACAATATTCGAAACGGCTAGGACAGGTTTGGGGGGAGTAGTGGGAGTGTTGAGACATCTCATAATCTATGTCAATCTTGAGGCTCAGCTATGGCATTAATTTACGCTCAACCGATAACCTGAGAGCGAGTTTAGAGAATAGCGGTACAGGGTAAGAATAGACAGCACCCGGAAACGGTGCAGAGTGGGTGATATTCCGTGGTGCTGGGTTGGTTGAAAAAGAGGGGGAAAAAAGATGCTGTATTATACCAGTACCGGTATGATAATATTCGAGTATTATTAACTTGTCAGTCTACACCCGCACCCACAGCGACTATCTCGATGGCGAGGATATTATCGACCCCACCATCCTGCCAAGAACTTAATTCCTGGGTCCCTGGGTATGGTAATTAGGAAGACGGTATCGTATGTACTTGTACCAGTATCGTATCAAGTTTCGGTTCTGGGGCTTCCCGCGTGAGCGCTGCTAGGATTCGGTGCTGTACTCGAGCAGACCCTTTTTTTTTGAAGTCTCCTAACCCCAGGAGGGTGGTGGTGTCGAGGTTTCACAGCAGACAGGGCCACAATTAAGGTATCATACTATCATAGTACTGTACCGGTACTGACTGTGCCTCCACCCGTGCAGCACCGGCATCTATCCCGACGGGTAATAACAATCCCCAAGTTACATACGATGTCTAGATCTCGACGGAGGGTCTCGTGTGCATTGCCTTGGCATCTAATATGTACTGCAAACCGGTCCTTTCGTACTTTTGTGTGTCTGCCCTGCCAGCTGATTGGTTGAGAACCTATACCCCTAACCCTCTCTCAGTTTTGCATGGCAACCATTTCA